GGCCCACCCCTCACCACAGGCATGGGAGAGCTGGCCCCATGGTATGAGCCTAGGAATTCTTACCTCTACCAAGGCTCAGACCAAAAGGGGTGATCTTGTTCTCAGCATGACTGCAGACTGCACTCCTGTCTCTACCAGCCTTATATTCTTCTCTAGTGCTGGGATTTAAGGAGTGCACCATCACCAACTAGCTTCTGCTGGGATTAAAGGTGTGTGCCACCCCTGCCTGGCCTCTATGGATGAATAGTATGGCTAATTTTGCACTCTGAACTTCAGGCAAGCTTTATTTGTCAGATCTTAAACAAAATATCACCATAAAAGGAGAAGTCAAATCATCCATAGCTGCAGATGAATGTGGTATTATAAATAAACGATACCCAAGAGCCTACTATGATACTTCTAGAAACAACAATTTCAGGAAAGTGGTAAGGTACAAAATCAATTTGCAAAATTCAGTAACCACACAAATGCTAGCTGTGAAGGCTCACCTATAATTTGAAACTTGAAAGACAAACACTGGTTTCTGGAGCAAGGTGGCTAGTGAAGTCAGTCAAATAGAGAGTTCTGAGACTGACTAAGAAACCCTGACTCGAACAATAAGATAGAAGAGCCATCAGTGGAACAGTATCAAAAACCCTAGGTGGTTTTAGTATGAGTCTTTGTACATGTTAGTCAACTCCCTAGAAGATGTGGTAATATCTTACTTGAACAAATAAAGCTTGTCTGAAGATCAGAGGATAGAGCTTTCCACTAGTCAACCATAGAGATCAGGAGGTCTGTACAGACAGACAGGAAGTGAGATGGCTGGGAGGAAACAGGAGGTGAGATGGCTGGGTGGAAAGAGGATGTAATTGGGAAGAAACAAGAACTTGCTCAATTTTCTACTGGGAAACTAATGAGGTAAAGGTGACTTTGGCTTGCTCCATCTTCTCTCTGACCTCTCAGCATTTTTCCTCTATATCTGACTCTGCGTTTTTATTATTTAGACCAAGTAAGAACTCCATGAACAATAAGAAGCCATGGAGGTGGAGGCAGGGGCAGGGACTACCACTGGCAATCAAAATGTTTAATCTGTATACAATAAACCTAAAGAGAAAACAAAACATGTGCTCTAGAGAAGTAATTCTATTCAAGTACAAAAAGAAACACCAAAGTGAAAGCCTATGAGATTTCTTGGACTGGTATTAACACGGTTGCCAGTTTGCATTAGAGTAATCCCTAAATATATAGTTTTATGAAGTCTGGGAAGTTACTCAGAAAGTCAAACAAACAAACAAACAAACAAACAAGAATATCTTGGCAAGGAAAAATTGATAAAGGAATTTGTTCCAGTGAATAGTAGATCATATTACAAACATAACAAAATGCATAAAATATTTTCACTACAATTTTGCAACAAAAACAAGGATCTCTTTGGATGAATTTTATGTGTCGATGTAATGGAGATTTTGAAAATCAGCCATAGTGGAACAGAATTACAAAAACAGAACTTAGACTTGAATGCAGGGGCATGCCAACTGTTAACAAATCCAAAGATTCCAATCCAAGGCAACTGAAACTGTGTTGGTGAGTGCTCATTTAATAACCCAGAGGATCTTAAAGGTGACTGCATTGCCACTCTGAAAAACAGATTATCATGGAAGGCATAGTAAATAAGAGAAAAATTTGAAAATAGATGATATAGCTCCACCTATGTTTTAAAACAAGCATTCACAGATTAAAATATGAACATATATGAAGTAAAGTCATGGACAGAGGTGTGGAGAGATATTTCAGTCTTCAACAGTAGTGTAGTCTGTAGATCTTTGAGGATGCTGGAATGAAAAAAGGATCTGTACAGTTGATTTTTAAAATTTCTGTAAGATTGTATTTTATATTTTATATGATGAGTATACTTGTGTTTGAAACATACAAGGAAAATAAACCATCACAAAATTGTAAGACACAATTTAATGCTGAAAGCTTGTATGCTTCATAAATAAAGACTACTTCTGCCAGATGTTCATCTATGAGGAGGACACACTGGTGGATTTAAAGGCTCTTTGCCTTCAGACAAAACATTGCTTTTGATTTCCTGAAAATGTGTTATTGCCACTTCAGGCATCTTCTCTGTAGGAAAACAGTTTTCACTCAAGAAAAATATCTCTCCACAATACCAGGCTTCATTTTCCTGAATAACGTGTATCTGGAGGGAAAGTTCTCAGGGATTAATGTAGGTACTGTCTCCAAAGTAACTGCTCATCACTGAACCAGCATACACAGGAAGGAATCACTTCTTTCCAAAACCACCAATGAAAAGGTCAACACAAACTGAAACTCTCAGAAAGTTACACTCATAAAGACTCGACAATGCTGACTACAATTTGATTGTTAGAATGCTGCAAATCTAAAGTAAACTGATCATAGGCTATCTTTAGTTCCCTTTACAGACATTCACTGCCACTTCTGTGTTCATCTGGTCAAAGTTCTTACAAAACATTAATGTAACAGACCATTAGCATATACCAATTCAAAAGGTATGAACACCAACACATAGCACATGGGATCTATATTAGGGATATCTGCATTCTGCTGTAGCCTACCTACTTTATGTTTCTACCAAGGTATTTGAAGAAAATGTACCTCAATTTAAGACTCAATTTCTTTTGTTCTATACCTTTTGTCTATACTGGAGCATATCATCTGAGGCTATCCTGTTCCTGGGCTGTAAGCATTCTTATTTGGCTCAAGAATAAACGGTCTCTTATCTCCTTTGAGGAGGGAGTGGTGTTTAATGTTGATATCAGGCTCTTCCTTAAAGCCAGGTTAGCCTTCTGGGAACATGAGACCTGTGTAACCAGGCTTGGTTGTTAGAACTAAGTAATGATTTCAAGTAGAAAAAAATCAATTTTAAGTTGATAAGTTATCTTTTGAATCAGAGAGTGGCCACCACAAACTCACAGATTCCTTGGTAACCAAGAAACACTTATATATTTTGCATTTTGATGTAAGATAAACTCAAAACAAATATCAATATAATTAGTGTGTAATAGTATAATGGAAGAGTCATAATAAATTATCTTACTAAAGCTTTAACTATTTCTAACTGCATTTTTAAAAGAATGAAGACTATGACTGACTTTATGCCCAATGCAAGTTCTGATTCTCCTATATTTTATAGAACTGGCTTTATATGTGGAAGAAAACATTGGTGACTAATGCTGTTCACTGCTTCATTTCAATGAGGAAAAAAAAAATCACAATGCTAACTGGCTGTTTACTTCTTAAGGACCAACACTACTCATCTGTTTACAATGTATTTTCCCATCAAATTTTCTTTGAGCAAAGGTTCTGACTACTTTCAATGTCATTCTTCAGTTCTGCTCAGGATTATTCCTGTTATTAAACTTACTACAATCAAATTACTCTAATTATTATCTGAGTAGTTTATCTCACACCTCCCATCCTGGAAACTCTTGGCTTCACTGTCTGCTCAAGTCATGCAAGAAATAATACATTTCTTTTGCTTTCATGCAGTGTCTTATAGTGTATATGTAGTTATATTTTCTTAACTACAACCCAATACATATGATGTGAACCAAATAACTTTCTCTAATTCTAGAACTCTATAAATTCATCTTGAAAATACAGAGAATACATTACATACAAACTGATTTTCCTGACAGCACTTCAATTATATTCAATTAAGCTTGTTTTAAAGAAACTAATAGTAATGTCCTAAACAAAATTCTCAGAACAATGTCTGAACACCCTCAGATTAAGGTAGGAACCCTCTCTAGCATTTAGCAGTTCTGGTCAAGGTCTCCACAGGCATTTCACACTGTTTCCCACTTTTATTTATTTGCCAAAGGCTGTACTTTGTGTGAAACTGAGCTCTGGAAAGATGACACATCGTGTGTCACAGAGCTGGAGTCACTGTCGGGGGGCAGTACACGACAGGACGCTCCACACTCCTGACTGCACCACCCATACTAACAGCAGACTGACTAGGTGATGAGTGAAGTAACAGAAGCTGAGGACATCTTCACAGAGCCATTCCTTTGCAGTTTCCCCACCAAATTCAGCGTTCTATGTACTCAGACTGAATGCAGGGTGAAGATCCAGGCAGGGCACATATTTTAAGGAAAATAAACTATTCGAGGCAAATCCCAGATACGAGAACCCAACACACTACATGAGCAACAGCGAAACGGCAGGAAACAAGCAGTAAACAAAGAACAAAAACACTCTTTTTAAGAATAAAAGAATTCAAGTATTTGATCTAAACTTTCTCAAACATCAAGCAGAAATATTAACCCAGGGGTAGCCAAAAGATGACAATGTTGAACTTGCACGCAAGCTACTGCACATTGACTCCAACATAAATGTTAAAAGTCATCACAAATGTAGTATAAGGATCAATATTCATTGTATTTTAAACTGGAATATATACCACCTATTTCTCAATAAAGAAATGCTAAAATTTAGCCCTCTTCCATACAGAAAAGAAGCAAGAGCAGAATGTGGTGCTCAGAGAAGAGCACAACACTCTACCAAACATACTCAAGCTCTCTACTTTCTATTCACAGGAAAATGCCCAGTATTTACAATAAATCTGGAGGTCAGGACAACTGAATTCACAATCAGTCTTAACTACAGCTTCTAGTGAAAGGCCAGTACAGTACATTAGCCATCCCTTTTCTTACTAGCTCCTACACATGCATACATTTCAGAGGAATATTTGAACATGTTAATTATGTGTCATTACAAAATAGATGACAATATTTTGAAAAATACAATTTAACAGATTTAAAAAACATTTATTCACTTCAAATTTTGCAATGGGGTCTCCTGTAAGCCAGGCTGGCCTCGAACTCACTGTGTAGCCAAGGATGACTTTAAACTTCTGGTCCTCCTGCTCCAGCCTCTTGGGTGCATGGGTTACAGATATGCACCACAACAGCTGACCAGACTTTTAGAAGATAGTTCAGGTGATGTTAAGTGTCTTCACAAACACATACCTGACACAGAAGGCTTTTCTGAGGTGGAGAAGGAACTCGTTCTTCATAAACAGGGGATGGCTTATGCGTAGGAGGAAGGTCAATTCTGTGTTCAAAACAGCAAACAGAAGTGTTGGGGGTTCCGGCAGGAAAAACAAAGAAAGTTCTCACAAATCTGAAGGACATTTTCTTCATACTATAATATATAATTATTCTACTCTACATGTGTAATTAAGTTATATTCTGTTAATCTGTCAGAAAATAAAAAAAGGCATCACTACTTCTAATACTTAGCACCAAACTATCTTATTCACAATAAAGAAGCAATTCAAATAGAAACACTGAAAATTATCATTAAACAAGTCACAGTCCACCTTAAGTTTGACATATTTTCACCTCTGATTATGCTGATAAACATTCTAAAGGCAGGATTTTTAAAAGATTTTTATTTATGTCTCTGTGCGTATGTCTGCAAGTCTGTCACATGTATGTGGATGCCCACAGGCCTAAAGAGAGGTCAGATCCATGCAGCCAGAGTTACAGGTAGTCATGAGCCTCCAGAAGTAGACGCTTGGAACCAAATTCAGAGCCTCTGCAGGAGCACTCTTAGTTGCTAAGCTATCTCTCCATTCCCCAATGTGTATATTATTATGTTTCTCCAAACAGTCATATAAGTAACTCGGAAGATTGACAAAAGCTCATATTAGAGTTTGGAAGTGCTTTCCAAGATAGATTTTTCAAAATGGCCGCCTTGGGGCTGCAGAGACTGCCTAGCAGTTAAGAGTGCTTGTTCTCCCAGAGGATCCAGGTTAAGTTTCCAGTACCCACAGTAAGTTTAAAGTCATCTGAAACTCTAGTTCCAGGGGAATTTGATACCTTGTCTGGCCTCCATGGACATCAGGGTTGCACATGGTACAGGGACATACATGCAGACAATAACAAACATGCACACGAAACAAAAACCAATATTCATCTTTAGAATATTTATCCCATAAGATTTTTCAGGTACAATTTATTATGAATCATGCCATCTGAAATAGACAAAGGAACCAGGGTTTCCTTAGAGAATATATTTTTGATGACCTCAACTGTAAAATTCCCTAATATTCACATATATTTTCAATGCCAGTTAGATATTTACAAACACATTCATGGGTCTAGAGTTCTATGTTTATAGAAAACAATCTCTCAAATACATATAGTTTTCAATGATTTGAAGACTAAAGATATATTTCCAGTACTTTTGATTAGCAAATTAAATAAAGTTATCAATATTAAAAGATAGATGAAATCTTCAGATGCTAAAATAATAAATGTGCTATGATCTACTCATTTCTCAATATGGGCATAAAGTTGTGGTGATATCTTTCTTGAACAAATAAACCCTGTCTGGGGGGTCAGAGAATGGAGCTTGCATTAGCTAACCATAGGGGTCTGGAGGTCTGTACAGACAGGCAGGAAGTGACGTAGTTGGGCAGTAACTATCTAAGCAGGGACAAACAGCTAATTGCTCTCTTCTCTGTGGAGATGCTTAGGAGATAAGGTGTGCTGTGGCTTGCTCCTTCTCTCTGATCTCTCAGCATTTTCCTCTATGTTTGACTCTGACCTTTTATTACCTAGACCAATAAGGACTCCATTTTACATAAAGTAGTATTTTCTACTGAAAATAATTCAACAAATACACAAAACAGTTATAAAAGTTGTAACACTTACAAAAGAACTCCAATTTTACAATTATCAAATTAAAGCAGCATTTTACCATTTTTTACTCATAAGTAGTTAACTTTTCTCTAATGAAAGTTGCAATAAATTTATAGCACCATTTAAATGAGAAAACCCAAGCTTATGGCAGCAGTGACCGGCTCATGGTGACAGCTGTCACTCCATTATGACAGGGTCTACAATCCGGAAAGCAGTGCAGTGACTGTGTCAGATTGAAGAAGTAAAGTCATAACCCAAAGCATTTTAAAGAAACAAAGAATACCATCCCCATGCCTTCATGCATCAACAGATTGCACAGGAAGCTCCACTCCCCAGTAAATAAAAACATCTTATTTTGTTCTCAACACCACCATGTGAAATATGGAAAGTATAATCTATTTAGAAATAATTATAAGACTAAAATGAAATGATGTTAGTCATTCCATTCTATAACACAGTACAATATTTATCTTGTAATTCAATCTTGATTAGGCAACAAATTTATTGTTTAAATGAAAAGAGGCTTATTTAAAATTAAATGAAACAAAGAATTTTTTTCTTAAGGAAATAGACTCAAAATTAGTGCTTTAAAAATAATTCTTGGTAGTTTAGTTATATCTCTATAAAAGGCAGACATAAAATTAATTAAGCCTAAGATGTTTCTATTACTGAAAGCAGGTACCTGAATTCTATTCAGGTTGGCCAACAATAGCTATAAATATGATGCATTTGGAAAGATGTCTTAATGACTGTGAATGAGGGGTTGCCTAATACCTTGGCTTCTAGCAGCCCTGTGGAGATTCTCACTTACTATAATTAAGTTTAACATGTTCTGATGAAATCACAGTTGACTAACAAGGGTCCAACACTATCCTTATTTCCATCTGTTGAACACCGAATATAAGTAACGTAAAGGGGGACATACAGGTTAATGAATAATGGATATTCATAGCCTAACACAAGCAAAACTGTCACCTACACTTTGTCAAGATACGATGGCCTCTTCTTCCGCGGTGTTAGCAACACAGTCATGAAGACAGCGATGATGAAGAGGGCCAGGACAGCTCCAATCACAGCTCCAGCCACTGCTATGGATGAGGTCTGCTTAAGTGGAATGTCTGTTAAGTAACAAAAAAATTAGAGTTTTCAAACAACTTTAAAGAGTTCTTAAAGTTGCATGCTTTAACTTTTAGAGTGCTCAGTTGGCTATTTGAAATATTTACCCAACAATTAGTTTAAAGGACCCAAAATTTAATCCATTTTAGAAGCATTATGTTAATACCCTTCTATTTTCATTAGTCCCCAGGTTTGCTTTACTCAAACTATGGAAAGAATATCTCCAATCAGGCATTATTGAATAAATCTATTTTGTACAATCAAATAATGTCTAAAGATAAATAAAAAGATAAAGATAATTTTAAGTTCTCACTCAAACAGGTGATTAAAAAAATCAGTTGACCAGTAATACACACTTACCATTTTATTCCATTAAAATGAAAGAGAAACACTATTAAAAATAACATAATAAGATTCAAGGACTAAACAATAGAAAAGCATACCACAGACATAAAAAGTGATAGTGTATACTTTAAAAAATGTTTTAAAATAGGATATTTCAAAATAGTAGCCATGTCAATAATAGCAGTTCTTTCCTAAATGGTTAAAGGCAACATTTCAATATGTATTTAAATAATATTTGTATAAGTTCTGAATACTAATTCATTTCTCAGACTAAATGACACATTTTTAAGGAATTAATATAGCAGTTAGCATCTCACAAAATTTTAAAAGGCATATCATTCATTAGCTCAAAAGATGGAATTCTAGCCATATGAAATGTAGCAACCCAATTTTGTGGAGTGATTCATAAGTTACAGGTTCTTCACACCCATTTTCTGCATTTTGTTTAGAGACTGGGTTCCATGTATTTCAGGCTATTCTGGTACTTGTTATACAGCCACGGGTAACTATGAACTTATGGATTCTAGTCACAGGACCTTGTAAGTGGGGGTTACAGGGACCTGCCATGATGCCCAGTGTATGTGCTGCTGGGGAACCAAGTCAGTTTTGTGCATGGTCAGTACATACTCAGCAGATAACTACACCCTCAACTCACAAACTTGATTTTGTTTCACTCTTCTAACCAATAAGGTAGACAATGAGAAATGCCACTTTAAAAATGAAGACAAGACTCTAGTGGAGCCTGGCCACAGTCATCCAGCTAATGAGCAGTAGAGAACGAAAGGAAAAGCAGGGTCGAGGTACAAGTGTCCAGTCAGACAATACAGCCTTGCCCTTTTGCTCCCTATGAGAAATCAAGAAGCTGTTTTCATTAAAATGGCTTAGTCATGTCTTGAATCCTTACAATTATTTTTCAGACCAGGCATGGCAAACTGAAATGAAATTAAAGTTCTAGAATGTTTAAATTGTTTTACCTATCAAAGTACTTTATTTTTATTAAAATACAATTTGTAGCTGGGCATGGTGGCATTATATATTTAATTGCAGCACTAGGGAGGCAGAGGCAAGTGTACTTCTGAGTTCAAGATCAGTCTTGTGCGCATGGGGTTTTACATGATGAAAGGGCTTCACTTTCTAGTTTTAAATTAACAAGACAGTTTATTAGTGGGCCATTTCATTGACTTCATTTTAGACTTAAACTCTTACCCTTCAGTGCAAGTCTTCCATTTGAATAACCTGTCAATCAAGGAATATAATCTAGACATAGTGGGCACAGCATGCAATTATGCTCAAACTACAACTTTCAACTTGGTAACACAACTGAGATTTTCAACTTCTGTTTATCAGTCTAATCACTAGCTCTCACATTTGTCAATGCAGTCAACAGGATTTCGTGCTTGTAAATCCAAGAGATATTTGAAATCATTCTACATACCACTTTGCCCAAGTACATAGAATTTAAATTTGTGAGTTTTGTTTTATGATGCTCACAGGACAGGAACAGTAGTACTTACGAACTGTTTTTCAAAAGCTCAGGTTACTCTTGAGTATGAGTGAAAACTAAGACTTCCCCTCACAGATCATCACAAAAAGGGAGGTTGATACTAAATGTGTATGTTATACTTCACATTTCCTTTCGTGATTCTTCTACTAATTACAGAAAAGCAAAGGACACAGTATATTTAAGGACAGTCCAAGGCTTTCAAGACATATGTTGAATGTCAGAATGAAACACAAAGGAAGATACAACATCTTTGCATTCAAACTGAAATATTTCAATGGAAATTTGAGAATTTGGTCCAACAATATTACTGCTGTGTCACATAAACACACATACACTACATAAACTCTTTATTCTGCACAAGTGCAAAGGTTCAGTGAGGAAGTGAAACTTGGTACTTTTAAACCTAAGCCAGTGACTTAAAGAAGCATGTGATCACCTAGGAAGATGTTCTACAATGTTTAAAGTGACAGAATATAAGCGTTACCATTTACCATGAAATGGCAGTATGAATCCCTAAGAACAGATTGATGCTACTGCAGCAGTTACATTACAACACATCCACTGAACACTCACCCTCCCACCCAAAAAATATACCACCTGTAATTATATATAGCAAGTGCATATTTTCTAAGACAAATATTCAAAAATCAGTTATCAGCTAACCAACCAATACACACTGAACTTTCTGGAAAACATGTACATAGTAAATATTATAGATATCAAATACAATTAATTTTGTTTTTAATTATCAATGTTACATTTACTCTCATACTATACAGAACTGTGTTTTCCCATTAATAATTCTTCAGTTTTGGGTGCTGAGGATCCGAAACCTACACATGACAAGTATGTGAGCTACACTGCCAGCCTTCCAGTCTTCATTTTCAGAAGTTCCTTTATGTTTTCAACACAACAGCTAAGCATGTATCTATGCAACTTTTATTTCACCATAATTTTCCCTAAGGACCATAGTTAGCTCAGGGCATTTTCAGCTATTCATTCAATATATTATCAGATATCTATGGGCTAGCACTGTCCCACCTCTAAGAATACAAGGGTGAATCAGACATAATACTGATCCTCACAAGAAAGAAAAACAGTCCCAAGATGAGGTTACAAATGTATAAAATATGCAGTCTAAACAAGTACAGAAAAAGAACTTATATTTAAAACACACTTAACAACTAACTCAGTGGTAGAGCTTGTCTATCACTGAACTTCTCAACTATCACCAAATTACCTCCTCCTCCAAGGAAAAGCAAAAACAAACAACATTGTTTAAAACAAAAACAAATGGTAACTAGCATAAAGTGCTTGCATTGGCACTGCCAGCATCAAAGGATCCAAGTGTCAGTTGTTCAGCCATCATTTGGGGCTTCACATGGGAAGGAACATTTCCACAACAAATGTGAACTGAGGTATTGCTGCAAGCCCTTTGCTTGTGTGTTCCTTCTCAGTATAATTAATGTATGACTCATGGGAGTTAATTGACCCAGTATTCATTTTTAACACTACAAACGACACCCCAAGTGTCAGGTGAGCACCTAACCAAATGAGATTACCAAAATTTATCTGTGATACACACTAGGTAAGCATTATAACTAGTATATGCTATCCTGCAAAAGAAGTGGCATAATAAAGGTATCACATAATTCAGATAAAAGCAGTGCCAACATCTTACTCAATACATAAACTTCCACCACTAGCTATAGCATGAAAGTAAAACCAGGACAACCTAGTGAGTTGTGATAAATCAACCAAATATAATTCACGTGTATCAAGAGACCAGTTAAAATAGATTTGTATTTTCTTAGTTTCAATTACACTAACAATAAACCTACAGAGGGTCGAACGCATAAAGTATGTGAATTCACTGCAGATGGAAAGACACTGAAAAATAAACATCTTGTGCATAGAGATAAGCTCTCAAACTAGGAGTTGTGACAAAATCTTTCAAGTTCTCAACAATGCTCTTCTTCCATGTGAATCAAGTCGTCTTTGAGAGAACACATTAACCAAGTATCAAAAGGTATGTACCACAGAATAAGGTCTTTTTAAACTATTGAATCAAAAAGTCTAAAACCCAAGATTTTTAAAATGAAGCACATTTAATCATTTTTTAAATATCAATTTATGAGAAAAGAGGTTAACTTTAAAAATGAAGTACATTATGCCTCCCAAATAGTGACAATGACATCAACATTTAAAAGTATTATTTGATCAGAGTTAAAATGTCCATTTCCGACTATTTTAAAATACATACAACTGAGTTGCTCTAGTAGCACAAATATACTTGGAATACACACTAATTTTTTTTAGCTCGTTACAATCAAGAGTTTTCACAGATCTACAAAAGATAGGCAAAAGAAGAATAAAATGTAAACATACAAGGTGATAGAAAAAACCAGGGTTGGCATTTGCTAATTCTGTTGAAGTATCATAAACATTTGTCATTTGAGATACACTTACATGTACTGCCCGCCCAACGTGGACAGGGGGAAAAGGAAGTTTTCAATAAAGGGTAAGCATGGACACAATTATTAATGTATCAGGAACACCACAAGGTAAATGCAGCTAATATATCTGGACATGAGTAGGCCCACTGTTACACTGTGTTGGCGTTGAGAACCAATGGCCCACTGTTACACTGTGTTGGCGTTGAGAACCAATGGTTGTTAGTGTCAGAGCATCAAAACAAGTATTATGAATATGAATCTCCTGGTAGAAGAATGCATCATCTCCTACAAAGTAACCTGGCTCATGCAATGAAACTTGAATGAAGCAAGGATCCAGACCTTACCAACAACTTATAAACATCCAGAGGATGCATTCAGGGTGCAATGGACAACCACACTGGGACACTAGGAAAATGAAGCCATTTCTAGAAAACACACTAAATGGAAGATGGCATGTGGGCCAGCACACAGAAGAAGGTATTTTTAAAACTGCAGTGACAGATCACACTTGGATCCTGATTAAAACTGCTACAACATGACAGAAATGTGAATACTTACTGCTTGAAATTAGAGAAATGTTCATTTTTGGTATAATGAAGACATTATGAAAAGTTCTAAAAAAGATACTATGACCGGTTTTTAGAACAATTTTTATCTTTCAAAATGCAACATGATTTACTGTCAATTTGGTAGTGAC